GAATTCTCGCGTACTTTATAAATATTCGTGGATAAATTAAATGATTGATTAAAAAAAAAAAATATATATATATATATATATATATATATTTTTTCCTTTTCATTAATTTTTATACTTCATTATTTCAATGTACATACACGATACACTTGAAATTAATTTTGTTTTTAAAATGGGAATCGTTCGTCCCATTTTAACAGATTTATACGAACGTATATATGTGGTAGAGGGGGAGGGATTTAATGATTGAAGCAACATGTATTGATTTTTTTAATTTTATATGAAATATTTACTTACTTCTTGTCCAAATTCTAATATCAATTCTAATATATATATATATATATATATATATATATATATATATATATATATGCGCCTTTTTTTTGGGCAAAAAGTAAGTATTTCATATTGAGTTAAAACGATAGCATTTTTATATAATACGATAGGATCTGTTAATTAAAACGATAGGATTTTTATATATCAATTGACCGAGCAATCAAATAAGTGAAAGTAAATCTAATAATGTTAAAGTAATTATTGTTTCTATTTTATAAAACGAAAAGAAAAAAAAAACACTGATTAATATTAATATTTATCTAACGTTTATGTATAGACGTATATCTATATATGAGAACGATGGTAAGAGGGAGGGAGGGAGGTAGATTGATTTAAAATTTTATCAGAATATTTATCAAATGGGAAAGTGACCGATTGATTTTCTATTTTTTTTGTTTTGTTTTGTTTTGTTTTGTTTCTAAATCAAATCTTTTAATATTATCTAATCCTATATCGTAATAACGTTATATTATAATGAAAATTAAAACGTATAATGATATCGTATCGATCGGTTAAATAAATATATTAGAACGATCCGAAAGGTAATAAATCGTTTACTCCAGAATTTCTATATAGTGATCTCTCTCTCTCTCTCTCTCTCTCTCTCTCTCTCTCTCTCTCTCTCTCTCTCTCTCTCTCTCTCTCTCTCTCTCTCTCTCTCTCTCTCTCTCTCTCTCTCTCTCTCTCTCTCTCTCTCTCTCTCTCTCTCTCTTTATCTATCTCTCGTTATGAAAAGAACGGGTTATTTACTTATCTATTCATATATATATACATATATATATATATATGTATATATATATAATATGAATATAATTACTATATAACTAACATTAGGACGAATCCTCGCATCATTTCACTTTCAATTCGTCATTAAGCCGCACCTCTACTTCCTAACGCTCTCTGAAAGTCTCTTATGTTAGAAAATAGAAGACGAAGACGAAGACAGACGAATAATACTAATAATACTAATAATAATAATACTAATAATAATAATAATAATAATAATAATAATAATAATAATAATAATAATAATAATAATAATAATAATAATAATAATAATAATAATAATAAAAAGAAAAAGAAAAAAAAGAAGAAGAAGAAGAAGTCATCTTCGTCTAACGACTAAGACGAGTTAGAGAATGTCTGGGTGACTTTAAACGTTTAGATTGCCCCGAGCGATCAACGATATTTTCTAACGTAAGCTTACACAGCAAATGCTTATGTTATTTCTATCGAGACGGATATTAGTTATTCGAAAATTGATCATTATATCGATCGATAACTATCGATCTTTTCAAAGATCTCTAACATTCCTTTTTGTTGCATCAATATTTCTCTCTTTCTTTCTCTCTCTCTCTCTCTCTCTCTCTCTCTCTCTCTCTCTCTCTTTTTCTCTTTTTCTCATACACACATACACACACACTCTTTCTCTCTCTCTCTTTCTTTCTTTCCATTATGATTTTATTACAGTTATAGTTGCAAATGGTTTATGCTGTATCTGTCAAGAAATGTATATTAGTTATTTGAAAATTACTAGTTATATCGATCAATAACTATCGATCTTTTCAAAGATCTCTAATTCTTTGCTTCTTTTTACGTCAATATTTCTCTCTCTCTCTCTCTCTCTCTCTCTCTCTCTCTCTCTCTCTCTCTCTCTCTCTCTCTCTCTCTCTCTCTCTCTCTCTCTATCTATCTATCTATCTCTCTTTCTCTCTCAGTTATTTATAGTTGAAGTAATAATTGCAGATATGTTATTTCTGTCGAGACGGATATTAGTTATTCGGAAATTAATCGTTATATTAATCGATGACTGTAGATCTTTCCAAAGATCTGACATTCCTTTTATTACATCAATATATATACATATATATATATATATATATATATATATATATATCTTTCTCTCTCACTCTCTTTCTGTCTCTCTATCTCTCTGTCTATCTATCTTTTATTCTCAGTTTAATTACATTTATAGTTAATGCGATATAATTAATATATATATATATATATATATATATATATGGGATATCGAAGATAAACGATACTTGGAATGTAAGACGTTTTCATCACTATATCAGTACGGGATGTTAAAAGCATAATGATAATCATCAAATACACATCGAAGAATTTTCCTCGTTCCCTCGCGTTACCGATCTTGCTGATATTTCTTTTCCTCTCACTCTCCCTTCCCCTCCTCAACGAAACATCTTCCTCTCTTTCTATCTCTCTCTCATATCCCTCTCACCTTCCTCGTTTTCTAACAATTACGTGTGAATCAGCCGATCGACCTTTCCGAAGCTCTCGCGCGCACGTTATCATTGATTCTTCATGTCATCTAACAATTCGATATAACATATAATTTCATTCGTTTAATACATTCGTTTGTTTTTATTTCTTTTTTCCTTTTCTATTCTTTTGTTTATTTCTTGGTTTTTTTTTTTTTTTCTTTAACTATTTTATTCTTTATATCAAGTTTTTCCCTTTTGTCTTTTTTTTTTTTTTTTGTTTTTTTTTGTTTCTTTTTTTTTCATCAAAAGTCCAATGAAAATCGTAATAATTGTTTTTCTGGATATGTGTATACATGTAAATGTATATATTTCTTTTTTATTATTATTTGAAATTGAATTACCATAAAAAGAGAGAGAGAGAGAGAGAGAGAGAGACAAAATTATTTCTCTCAGTATATATATATATATATATATATATATATATATATATATATATTATCATTAATTGAAAATAAAATTAGTAAAGAAAGAAATAAATAGAACCTATACACACACACATACACACACGTGCGCGTATATATATATATATATACACATATATACTTTACTATTAATTTGAAATAAAATCAGTGATAAGAGTAAAAAAGAGTAAAAAAAGAGAGAGAAAGAAGAAAAAGAAACATCTAAACGTCATTAAAATTAACACATATAACCCAAGAAGAATGCGTACATAAATATTATACATAGATACATACGTATGTGTTTATTTGTCCTATGTATGTATATACATAATCTACAAACAGCAAAAGAGTAACGAAATAAAGAAATACGTGGAATATGATGAGGAAAAGAAAAAGAAATATTGTTAAAGTGTAGTACTTATCTATATCAGATTATTTTTCAACAAAATATTTGCTACTTGATATTTACGCAAAGTGTAAGACGTAACGACAATATAAGGAGAAAGAGAGAGAGAGAGAGAGAGAGAGAGAGAAAAAAAAAAGAAAGAGACAACTCGCGGACCAATATGAAAAATGATGGATATATATAAATACACACACACATATATATATATATGTATATGTATATATATATGTATATAAAGCGTGATTCTTACTGGGGCGCATTGAAATAAAAACTCGATGTAAGCCGATAAGAAAAGATAACAACGTCGACCGAATGTATCTTCGATCTCTCTCTCTCTCTCTCTCTCTCTCTCCCCCTCTCTCTCTCTCTCTCTCTCTCTCTCCCTCTCTCTCTCTCTCTCTCTCTCTCTCTTCTCTTTCTTATATTTTATTTCCATTTAATTTCTCTATTTTCTTTTTCTTTCAAATTTTTGGAAAAACAAATAAGTACAATCTCAAAATGGCACATAAAAAAAAGAAAACGCATTATTGTACGAATATTATTTCGTTTAATCATGAGAAAAAGGGAAAGGGAAAAAGAAAAGAAATGGAAGAAAAACGAAAAAAAGAAAGAAGAAGATTAAAAATAAATGAATTATAAAAGGAAAAAAAAATGTGAAACGGTACGAAAGTAAAAAAGAAGAAAAGTAAAATGAAATAAAGTGAGGGGAGAAAGGAGAGGATACAAAAAAAGAAAAAAAAAAGGAAAAAGAAAAAAAACATTTCTAAAGAGATAAAAAGAAATAGACGAGAGAAGAAGAAGGAGAAGAGTTGGATGGATGATAGAGGAAGGAGGGAGGAGAGGAGATGGAGGAGAGGAGTGAGGGGAAGGAAAAGAGTGAGTGAGTGAGTTAGTTAGTGAGAGAGAGAGTGAGAGAGGGTGGGTGAGTGGGAGGGAGGGAGGGAGGGAGGGAGAGAGGGACCGTTCAGCGAGGCGAGAAAATTTACGGCACCTCCTCGCGTACCGTTTCGCGAATCTCGTTCACGCGTCGTCGAACGCACGTACACGCGTACTCTTTTAAAAGAGAGCAAGAATGAGAGAGAGAGAGAGAGAGAGAGAGAGAAAGAGAGAGAGAGTAGAGATAGAGAGAGAAAGAGAGACGGAGAGATAGAAAGAGAAAGAGAGACGGAGAGAGAGGGGGGGTAGAGAGAGAGAAAGAAAAAGAGACAGAGAGCACGTAATTTCGGCCGATAAAAATATTACGCAAGAGAACCCACTTTACGAAGGTCGTTCTCCAGGCTGCCTCCAAGCGATTCGACTCGTTGAAAGTTAACGAAACAGATACATTCATACATACGTAAATACATATATATATATATATATATGT